TTGTATGGGAATTAAGCCATAAATTAGTTTTATTTATAAATACTTACTCTTAGACAAAATCCTTATCGCAAGATCTCTTTAGTCTCTCTCTCTCTCTCTCTCTCTCTATCAATAGATATGTCCGTAGAAATCAATAATAGGAACAACTTTTAGATATTATATATGTTTTAATGGCTGAACACAATTGGGAATGAGATTCTAAGGGCTTGTAATGGGTTTATAAGTATAGCTAAAAGTATGGGTTAGTAGTGATGTAAGTGAATGATTGGGAGAGAGAGAGAGAGAGAGAGACTAAAGAGATCTTGCGATAAGGATTTTGTCTAAGAGTAAGTATTTATAAATAAAACTAATTTATGGCTTAATTCCCATACAATTATACAATTTTTAACCTTTGCATAAATAGTCAAAATATTTGTAAAAGTATGTGAATTATTCAACGGATACTCCTACACATAGCTAGTAATGTTGTCATGATTTATACGTAAACTAAAAACATTACTTAAAAACTTAAAAGCATTCAAATCCCAAGAAATCAAAAATCAAAACTTAGTTTTGAAAAGCATTTTATAATTATATTTTTCTAATTGACTTAATATTGTAAATATGTTTGTATACTGTACTGATAGCGTAAAGGTTTACAAATTTATGTTGATTATCGACAAAAATTAAAATATCATAAATACATTATTAACAAATTAATAAATATTTATAACTAATTACTTTAATTGACTTGTTATTGAAATAAAATATTATAATGACATAAGAGTTGTATTAAATTAATATAACTTCTTAATTAAAAGTGTTACTTAAACTTCGTAATTTAAATGCAAAACAAATATAATAATTATTAATAATTAACATGGCAAAGTGGTAATTAAAATAAATAATTTTCAATATAAGTTTGTACAATGTTATTAGAAAGTAAAACTTAAATAAACCTGTACACTTTTGTACACCATCGAGTAAGTTTATATAATATTTAATTTATTTATTTAGGATTGCAATTTAATTTATTTACGGTCGAACTTTGTTTCGCACGAATGTACTTGGTATTTATTTAATAAGGACAGTACACTGGACATAATGCTATTTATTTATTAGCTGTATTATTTTTGTTTTATTGTATAATAACTAATATATTATACTAACTGTATATTAAGTGCAATACATTTACTCGGGCATGTATTTGTACATAATAATAATAAATAAGAAAAATATATATTATGCCAAATAAACGCTGAATAAACACAGAATATTCTGTACATTTATATACAAACTGTATTTTTTAAGACTCGGATGAGTGCATATATTATATTATAGAAAGTTTTTGTTTAAGTAATAAATTCTTAGAAAATAAATTATATATTAATGAGAAAATCAATAAAAAAATTCTGTCGCTTATAGAATATACAGAATATTCTGTGTGTTTGTGTGTCTAATCACTTGTAGATAGAAAACGTGACAAATATTTGACAACTATATTAACATTTGAATCAAAAAATAATTATATTTTTTTATTTTTTAGCTTGTTTACTGGGCTAGTCGAGTGCACCGGTATTATGTCATTTAGTATATTAGCAGAGCCCTGGTAGATTAATATTTTAATAGCTATTACCACAGTATACTGGAATCTCATAGGAACTGGTACATGTAGCACTGGTAGCTGTTTAGGTGTGTTATGCAATCGAGTGTATAATTCCTATTAAAATAGTTTTTGTATTATTATTTATTTTATTTTATTTTTTTAATAGAAAAGTGAAAGTTATTTGTATTATAATAAAGTAAATAGTATTATATATGGCATAATAAATCTATTAAATTGTATATATAACATAATACAATACATATATGGTTATAAAACTTATTGCTATAATAAAATAAATGCCTTTCCCTTTCGCTAATTAATAGCCGTTCCTCAGACAGCGAAATACAGTATGTTTTTAAAAGTAATGATAATATTGAATATGAAATAAAATATTGAATTTTTAATACATTATTCTCGTGATTGAGACTAATATGTATAAATAAAACACAAATTTGTTGATTGAAAATACACGTTAAAAATGCTTTAATAAATATTTAATTAGAAATATTTTATGACAGCACCGGTAGTATACGGTTTGCTACCTAAAACTGGTGCCAATTGTATTGAATATATGCCTAAAATTATCATAATTATTATGCAAATAATTATTTGATATATTTTATATGAGATATAAATTAGTTTTAATGTATATCTTATTAAAAGCTAATTTGAATGCAAGTGAGTTGTGATTATATCATAAAAAGTGTTTGAAATATAATTTCGCGGAAAATATTTCTATGAAAAAACTTAAACCAAATATTTGTTTAAATATATAAATTGTTAATAAAGTTTTGAAAATACACAAACCACAAATATACAAATCAAAGTTGTAATACAAATATTTTATAATCATAAATTTTTTGAATGTAAATATAATCTATAGAATAGTTACTAATATACATAGTTAAACCAATATTTGAGACAGGCACACTCAAAGTAATATTAATTTTTGTACTACTCAAAGAGTTAATGTCAACGTGCCTATCTCATTTATTAACAAGTTAAATAGTATTACATATAATTTGTATTTTTTTAATGAATTTATATTAATTTATATTATATTACACATTAATTTACTCAACATTTACACATTATGTATATCGATTTAAGCTTTATAATATAGTAGCACATTAAGTAACATTAAATATTATGCTTGGTAACATGTTGTTTTAATTCCCAATTTTCTATAAAACTTTTGTTACAATCATTGAAATGGCAAACAACTGGCCTTTCGTTTGAATGTACGTACAGTTTGTGTCGAATTAAGTTTGCTTTTTGTGCAAAACTTTTGCCACAATATTCTTCATGACATTTGAAACGCTTTTCATTCAAATGAACACTACTTTTGTGTCGATTTAAATTGGATAATGTTTTGAACGTTTTGTCGCATTCACACCAATCGCACGCAAACATTTTGCCCGATATATGAACGCATAGTTTATGAACATTTAGTTGTGGCTTAGTTGTGAAACATTTGCCACAATTGTCTTCATTACATTTGAATCGCTTTTCCTTCAAATGAACAGCACTTTTGTGTTGATTTAGATCTCCTTTAGCTGTAAACTGTTTGCGACATTCACTCCAATTGCATACATATCTCACGTTTAAATGATCCCGATTTTTGTGTTGAATTAAAGATCGTTTCCATTTAAAGACCTTGTTACAATTTGTATAATTACATTTGAAATATTTATCGTTAGAGTGTCTTAATTGGTGATGTCTAATAACACTTTTTGTACATGATTTATATGTACATTTTGGCCATGAACAATTATAATTCTTAACAGGTGTGTACTTAAAATGGATAGTTTTGTTATGTAGAGATAAGGCCATACTTGATTTATATATTTTATTACAATTATTATAATCACATTTGAATTGTTTTATAGATAAATGCTTTATAGATGAATGTGTTAATTGGTGGAGGGTTAAATTGCATTTTATTGATGTTTTGTACTGACATTTAGGCCAAAAACAGTGGTAATTGTGACGAGTGTTGAGTGTATGAATGGTGTAATATAATATAAAACTAATATAAATTCATTAAAAAAAATACAACTTATATGTAATACTATTTAACTTGTTAATAAATGAGATAGGCACGTTGACATTAACTCTTTGAGTAGTACAAAAATTAATATTACTTTGAGTGTGCCTGTCTCAAATATTGGTTTANAATCCCTTCACACAAAACACTTGCATTTTGTGACAAAAAACACTGCATTTTGTCTAAACTTTGACACAAACTCTTCAAATCATTTAATTTATTTAATTCACACTTCATTTCACTAACTTTTTCACACATTTTCAAAATGAATAAATATGTGATATATTTGCAAATCTAACACAAATTGACTCAAACAATGACTTCTGAAACATTTGGCGCTAAAACCTGCCCAACGGTTGAAATGATGTTTAAAACAAAACTGGTTTTCATTTTAAATGAAAGGAATTTGACTTCAGGTGAGAGTGAGTGAGTGAGTGTGTGTGTGGTGAGAGAGAGAGAGAGAGAGAGAGAGAGAGAGAGATAAAAATACTTTCTACAGTATATATTTTCTAGTAAATGTTTATAATATTATTGTTATAATCTTTAGTATAGTAGTTCATTAATTAATATAATAATTCACATACTGTATATACTGTATAATGTCCGTAAATTCATTTGAAAAATTTGTAAATCTGTCATTTTATTAAATAAAGCTTATTATTAAACAATTACTTAAATTCATTAATATCCTGATATTGAATGAAATAATAAATCAGTTTATTGTTGATTATAAAAAAATTTACATTGTAATAATATAAATATATTCACAAAAATAATAAGTCTGTAAATGTCATTGTAAAAATATATTGTACTATAGTAAATAAACAGTGTATGATTACCTTCATGATTATTACCATGTTCATTTATGAGCATTCACTTGCATTATGAATACGCTCAATATGCTTTAGTAATTCATGTTTTGTGACAAAACATTTACTACAATCACTATAATTGCATTTATGTGGCTTTATATTCATATGTCTTTTCAGGTGTTTATTTAAAGTAGATTTACATTTAAAACATTTGTGACAATCACTGAAATGACAAATAAATGGCTTTTCATCGCAATGTACAGTGCGTTTGTGTTGAATTAAATTGACTTTTTGAGAAAATCTTTTGCCACAATTTTCTTCATTACATTTGAATCGCATTTCATTCAAATGAACACTACTTTTGTGTTCAAGTAATGATTGTTTTGATGTAAACTGTTTGCCACATTCACTCCAATCGCATACATATCTCACGTTTAAATGAATACTATTTATGTGGTGTTTTAGATCTGATTTCAATTTATATGATGCATTGCAATTAATATAATAACATTTGAATTGTTTTATCAATGAATGAATTAATTGATGATCTTTTAATTGCCCAGTTTTTTTAGTCTTGTAATGACATTTTGGCCAAAAACAGTGGAAATAGTGACGAGTGTTGAGTATATTAATGGTGTTGTGATTGGAAAGCATTTTATCACTTATTTTACATGAATTCAAATCAATNGTTTACATCAAAACAATCATTACTTGAACACAAAAGTAGTGTTCATTTGAATGAAATGCGATTCAAATGTAATGAAGAAAATTGTGGCAAAAGATTTTCTCAAAAAGTCAATTTAATTCAACACAAAACACTTGCATTTTGTGACAAAAAACACTGCATTTTATCTAAATTTTGACACAAACTCTTCAAATCATTTAATTTATTTAATTCACACTTCATTTCACTCAACACTTGTGAACAGATTTTAATTGAAAATAAAAACTTTTAAAACAAATAATACGAAACCAAACCACAAATTGTCTCAAACAATGACTTCTCAGACATTTGGCGCTAAAACCGTTGAATTTTTGTTTAAAACAAAAACAGGTTTTCATTTCCAGTGAAAGGAATTTGACTTTCAGTTGGAGAGAGAGAGAGAGACTTTTGATATGATATTTATTTTTGAAGTGATATACAGAATATTCTATTAGTTATACATTTTAGATATATTATGTGTTATTTAATATGGCATTTATATAATTATTTTAGAAATCCAAATGTTTTATTTTAATATATTTCCGGTAGACATTTTTTTTATCATCTATTAACAACACATTATAGTTAGTAAATAATACATGTTTATAAACATATTACAACTGCTATTAATAACCTAATTAATGTAATTCTAATAAATTAATCGATAAATTTCTGTTAGCTATTTAATTTCTTATGTATTTTATTTACATGCGATGATAATTCACTCTTACTGACAAAACACTTGCCACAATTATTATAATGACATTTATGAGGTTTTATATTCAAATGTCTATTCATGTGTTCATTGAAATCGGCTCTAGTTTTAAAACCTTTGCGACAATCATTGAAACGGCAAACAAATGGCTTTATATCGGAATGTATGTACTGTTTGTGTTGATTCAGTGATGATCTTAACGCAAACTTTTTGCCACAATTGTGTTCATTACACGTGAAATTGATTTTTAAATGTACACTACTTTTGTGGGCAATTAAATTACGTTTAACTGTAAACTGTTTGCCACATTCACTCCAATCGCATACATATCTCACGTTTAAATGAACGATATTTTTGTGTCGATTTAAATCTGATTTGGTGTTAAAACATTTATGACACTGGTCACATGGAAAATTTTTAATGTTTACATGTGTGTATTTATGGTTTTTTAAAATCGAATTATTTAATGCTTTGTAATCACATTTAGGCCACGAGCAATATAAAAATATAGCTTGCTCATTTATTTGATGAACAAACCTCTTGTGTCGATATAATGATTTTTTCAATTTGAAAACCTTATTACAATTATTAAAATTACAAATAAAATCTATTCTATCGAAATGATTTAATTTATGTTTGTTTAAATCATTGTTGTATTTAGTTTTGAAGTGACATTTAGGCCAAAAACAGTGGTAATAGTGATGAGTAGATTTTTTGTGTTCAAGTAATGATTGTTTTGATGTAAACTGTTTGCCACATTCACTCCAATCGCATACATATCTCACGTTTAAATGAATACTATTTATGTGGTGTTTTAGATCTGATTTCAATTTATAT